TATTACGTCTGATTCAAGCATCTAAGCTATAGTGCCGCAAGTGTAAGTGCACAGTGTTGACTCTTTTTTTAAAGGAGAAATGTTGTTTATGGTACACCTTGGCAGCTGTTCTCTATTGTAGAGAATATGACAGCTTGACGTTGATCTAAACATAATATTTTCAGTTCTGTACAGGTCTCAGATTCCACATGCCAAAAACAAACACACCTGCTGGACAGCGCAGAGGTCACAGTCAGGTATGTCTGTGTGTATGTTAGCCTGATACTCACCTTGTGTGCCCTGTTTGAGGTAACTGGATACAGAAGCTGTGGCTCTGGCTGCATGTGTCAGGGCATCTTCTCCAAGGCCTGTAAGAAAATGACAGGATGCAGGAGTTGTTAGGACTTGAGGTGTGTGTGTACGCCTTATGTTCATGGGAGGGTGCAGGGGTAGGGAGGGGAACAAACAAGAAAACTGCATTAACCTTTGGTCTACTTGGTGAAGGGAGGGCACAAGCGAGCCGGGCTGGTTGAAGGGACACCCCATAATCAGGCTCCTGTCAGCGCTGTTTCCTGGAGATTAATTCAGCTGGTTTCAATTCCAGCCACTGCTCCCATAGTCTCAAACCCAGGGTGCACATATTGTCCTGTTTAAAACACATGCACGTGGCACTGATTCAATTTAACACAGGCAGAGCTGAGGGGGAAGGTTGGGTCACGGGAGTACCCTTCCTCCCTTGCAAACACAAATAACATGCATCAAAAAAGAAAGCAAAAATTCCAGCTCTGGTCAAGGCAGAGAGGAATGGGTGGTTGCGACCTTCACAAAAGGAAAAGGATGTTTGAACAGGCTAGACCACTAAATGACACACAGGAAATGCAGGAAATGTAAATCTTGTCTTACAGTTCCCAAAATTATTTCACGACGCAGTGACACTCCTCATCTGTGGATTTAATTTCCACTAAACACCTGCTCTGAGCCCCCTATACAAACCCATATCAAGCTGCCAGACAGTGTCTAGTTGTTATGGCCAGAGGCTGAGGAGTGTCTCCTGGAGCTGGCTAATGAACTGATGAGACGGCAGTGCTAAGGAGCAGGTGATACAGGAGGACAGTGACAGAGACGTAGGGGCCCACCGTTAGTTACCTGTAATAGCCCGGGATGACGATGTGCACCCCGGCACTGGGCTGACAGATGTCGGGGTTCTTCTGATCATCCATTTTCCGCAGCACGTCCGTAAAAGGTCCCGTGGCATTGATAACACATTTGGCTCTGACATCAAATTCCTGCCCTATGAAAGAAAACAGCATCAATCACCAGGGGCTATTCATCTGTGGCTGGTGACAAGCCGGATTATTAATTTATCAGCGAACGCCCCCCTCTCTCCGTAATAGAGTGGCTCGAGTGTGTCCATGGGAGACTTCCCAGGATTGTAATTAATAGGAAACAGACATACCTAATTTCCCTCTTGCCTCTTTGTGTCACAGAGTAGCTCAGTGGCAGTGACTGAGGGGGCCTTTTGAAACTGTGGAAGGGAACTGTTTGCTAATGTGATGCTTGATGTTGACATGCTACAGTATATAATGGGACGCATATCAAAAGATACCATGAGGATAGCAAATGATCTGTTTTGACAACAAGATGAATGAAGGACTGCTCTTTCTAATTTGATGTGTAATGCTGCTACTGCTAAGAGAGAGGAAGAGGAGAAACTGAAAGATGAAGTCTAGAAACCTGCAATGCATATTTTTGCAGGGAAGAAGAACAAAATGGAAAAAAATATAACCCTGATGACAAAACTGTTTCTATTGTCCTTTCAGTCTAAGCCCTCCCTATGTGGGGCCCTCCTCTCACATTATTAAAGTGAGACATCTCCTTCAAGAACACACTTCCATCTTTTAAAACATCAGGGGGTGGTCATGTGTTGAGATCCTCAAATCTTGGTTATTCATTAAATGTTTCAGAATACCATCTTTTACCCTTAACTGCTTTATTCTTCCAAAGCCGGCCCTATGCATGACATTTAAAAGGTAAGTAAGGCCATTTGGAGTACGCTAATTCCATCTTATGTTCCTTCCTACAAGATCTGAAGCAGCCCCCTACACCATAAAATGCTTATGAAATATTAAAAGCCCCTGCATTAGATGTGCAATGACTATGTGCAAACTAGCACTGAGTAAGAGGTGCTGGGAGGGCTCCTGTTGTGAGGGCTAGGGAGAGTGGGAATAGAGTGAGGCAGGAAGGAAGGAAGCAGCTTTTGTTGGATTTACCTGTGATCACATCCCTGCAGTGTGCTCCACAGACCCTCTCCTTCCCCGTCTGAGGGTCTGGCCTCTTTAGTAGGTGCACCACTTCAGTATAATTGGCTATGGCAGCCCCATACCTGGCAGCAGTGAGGGCGACGGCGAGGTTCATTTGAGCGTTGCTGTGTTGTCCTGCAGCAGGGGGACAGGACCAGAGCAGGGGGATGTGAGTCACCCCGAGCCTGTGACTGGTGGTATGGAAGTGTGTCGGAACCGATATGTCACATCTGTCCCTGTCACTTTGCATCAGTGCGATGGCTGCTCTGGCCACACAAGGAGCCCACTTAAAGCCACTGTGGCCCTTTGGCCTGAGTGTAGGCCCCCGACCGCCTCTCCCCTCCTCTCCGCTCCCCTTTCCTATACGGGAAAGGGAAACCGGTCCTCAGGAAAAGGCAGGGATAAGGAGTAGGCACATCAGGAGTGCAGAGGATGAACCTGCTGTGTGACAGTGTGTGCTGCTCTTTGCCTCTATGTGTAACACATGACAGTGTGTTACCCCTGGCTTCTGGCTTACTATTAAGACTTTTTCACTTTTTTTGCAAAGCCTTTCACATACATATTCAACATAACACAATTTTTTTTACACTTAAGAGGAAAACCCACATCAAGCGATCACTGAAAACAATCACTATCCCTCCAGATGGTAAACGACTCTTGACAGCGGCTGATCTGTTTTGTCAGCTGAAGATCCCGTGGCAGGATCCTTTTAATGAACAAAGAGATCTAGTATCAAGATTTATGGATTAATCCCTCTTCAGCTCTAAAATACCAGAGATCTATATTCAGAGTCACAAGGTCACAAGTTTTGTAATTTAAATGAAAGGGTCTAAAAGGTGACAAATGAACAAAGCCTGGTTTCATTAGGAAGTGATTCTTATGTACATCTTTGAAGATTTATTGCTGGACAATCCCTTGGTTCAAAAGTAAAGAGAGAATAGAGATGATTAATCACTTTTAATGTTGGTGTCTCGGGTGACTTTCTTTCTATTTGTTATTGCCAGGGAAGTTCAAGTCCTCATTGTTGGCCAGGGAAAATGTTGCTACTTTGCAGGAATGAGCAGGGTCCTTTGTGCCCTGATTTATTTTACGTTTGAGCGACTTGAGGCTAGCTAGCTGGTGGGCTTTGCTTAATGCTATGGCATGCTGGAAGCCATTCCCCCACAAAGGGGAAAAATAAATAAATAAATTGAAAGCAAAAAGTAAAAAAAAAACAACAACAAGGAAACAACAGATTTAAAGGCCACATTTTAGAATGAATTACATACAAGAGTATGCACCCTGCCATGATGTATTAGGAAGACCATGGAATCCACTTCTTCATCTCTGTAGGGTGAATGTGACCATTATATTATGTGGTTAGCAAACGTATGCCAACGGTGGTGTGTGTGCACTCACACACACAAAAGCAGCTCAGGCTTGAGAGGGGCTCAGCACCAGTAGGCAGTGTCTGATCCTTGGTGATTGCTGAGCTTCCTAATGACCTTTGACCCCGTGATTCACAGCTCTCTCTTGTGAGCCTGTCACAGATTGGCACCAGGCAAAGAACAGGAGCATTAATACTACATTAAATGTCAGGAATTCAAGGATTAGTCAGATCACAGTATCAGGATTTATGAATGAACGGCAAAACATGGCTATAATAACCTGACACACTGATGAAGATAACAATAATGATGATGATAATTATCACCTGCAATTAAACGCCAAAATGGCTGAATGAAAGAGCCAAGCTAAATGAGCATCACAGCTCCCTGGAGGAACACGAACCCCCCCCCCCCAGTAATGTTCCACCCCTACCTCCAGTTGGCGCACACCACTACTCGTTCCAGCCTCCTGGAGGTACGAAACTCAGTGGAGTGAGAGGAACTCTGAGCCCGGACAAAATGCTGCAAAATGACAGAGACAATAATGACAATGAATTTCATGTCTCCCAGTCATACAGCCAGAGATGCTTGGCTGGGCTGACTTGTCCAATTAAATTGTTACAGGTACAGTGGGAGATGGAGTTATTATCCCAGACGCTTTTGTCAGTTACTCTTCTAGCAGAAAGAAGAAGGGCACAGTTGAATAGTATATAAAGACACAGCAAGAGGTAATATTTCCTTAAAAGTATAAAAGTTTAAATATGGTGCAAAATTACCAAAGTGATAAAGCTTAGTATTTGTAACATATAAAACATAATGAATTGTGACTATTAGGAATTTATCAGGGCCCTTTATGAGAATATCTCTCTGTGGGATTTATGTGTATGGAGTCTGACAATCTGTTTGCCATTTCTTACTAAATTATGATCACAAAGCGTACATTTTCTAAAGCTAAAGGATGTCTACATGTTGGAACTGGAAGATCATGATGGCTTGAAAAATCCTGAGGAGCTGAACCCAAGCAGTCAAAGCCCGGTCCCCAGTAAAGAAGGTCAGGACAGAAAATGTCACTGTCATAATGTACCCAGTTGGGTATGGAAAAAGAGGTGGAAAAGACAGCTCGGAAGAAATATTAAACACATGTAAGTAGTCTAATGTTTTTATTTTTTATTCCTTTGTTCCTTCTATTCTAATGGAAAGAATCTATATTTATTAGAATTATAAAACTCCACCTATAGTACAACTTATTTATTTGTTTACTTATTTCAGATTTTTGCTGGTTTCTGGAAATAAAACATTTTAAAAATCTGTTTGTATAAAACTGAACACATATAAAAAGCTCATGTAAAAGACCCCCTTTCCTTCCTACCTCTGCTAAATGAATGAGGATTGACAGATTACTGCTCAGATAACAGTCGTATTCCCTCAGAAGCACGCTGCCTTTTTTGCAGTACATGGGAATCCACATATCCTCAAATGCTAAATGAAGTCTGACAGATAGCCTAGAGAAACAAAGTTGGGACTTTGCAGCTAAAAGGGAGACCTTGAGTGAACAGGACATGCTATGTACACCCCGGCTAACACTCAACATATGCTTTTGTTTTTTTGATGCCAACACGAGGCACATGCAGCCTGGAGAAAGACAGACCCTGGGACTGGTTGGAATGCGATGCTTACTGGCTATTTTCTATTTTAATAAATGTTTCTAATTTGTTTACCCTCACATAGACAGCAATTAACATGGCTGTGTGAAACACAAGATGTTTTACTTAGAAGGCATGATCTAGAATTTAAGTTCCAGTCAAATAATAATAATATCTAAAATGCTCCAGACATCTGTTTTGTGACACTATTTAGTAATATCTAATTTATTAAAAAATTTAGAGTAAGTGTGGACTATGACTGGTACAGTAAATGGCAACACACAAGTCTTCAAGTATGTAATTCAGCTCCATGGTACATATCTGACAAGGCATTCTGAGAAATCTTTAATTAATGCAGATGAAATATCTGTGATTCCAAAAGTTGAATCACTAAACATGTAACCCTCACACTTCTTGCTCACACAAGACAAGAAAAAACAAGTTTTGCCACCACATGAAACAGGTAACACGACAAACTTAGATTTCTACAATTTGCAGTCAAATTGCTGCTCCCAGCATCCAGCTGTGATAAGTGCTCTGATTTTTAACATTGCGCAAAGTGATTCATACTGTACACTTTCATGGTGCATTGTAATGTGTACAGAACACTGTTCAAAAAGGGATTTCATGATTTAAACATCATAATAAACTATGTTTCCCACTAGTTTGTCTTCTGTGAACATGGAAGAGAACAAGATTCATCAACTTGCAATTTCAGAAAAAATACAATGTTTGGTCATATGTGCTGATGACATGTTACCAGAGTCCCACTCTTTTATTCCCTGTGCTACTGGCTGCAACTTTGCTCTCTATGACAATATTTGCAGCACTAAAACAGACTTGATTTTATGATAAGCTCGAACTCTGCTTTGACTGATGAGAGTTGGGTCGGATATGGCTCTGCGCGAGTGAAGGAGGGGCTACGGGATGGTGACAGGCAGCATGATGAGTTAAGACGCTACCACGGCCCAGCAATGAGAGAGAAATCAGAAAATCTCCTATCCCCCTCTCAGTAATGAGCCACACCTGTACACTGCTTTAAATACCAGAGAGAAGCTGTAAATGTCAGGTGCAATTAAAGCTTATGATTCAAGGCTGCACCAATCAAATCAAGGACCCTGAGTTCACCCAAGTCTGAGAGAGCAGAGGCAAGATGGTGCAGAGATGCCATGGACCACTCTTCCTTTACCTTACACTTCAATGGACCTCTTAGCCTAAAGGTGACTGTAAAGTTTACTACCACTCGGCTGAACTTCTGCATCTTCCCAACTCCATGGCTTTATCAAGGGAAAGGTTTACTGCTATTTCTGGTATATGAGGTGAAAAATGATCAGAGGAACTGAAGAAAAAGGCTTTACTTGTACACCTGAGGACAGATTAAGGACAGATAGGTGTGACAGTCAACAAACTAGACTGGACATGGGCTCCTTTCAATGTCATGCACTAGAGGAGAGGGGAGTTGAAATGGATCATTTGTCAGAAATAAAACATGTTTTAATTTAAGCTGAAATTGGAAACCTTGAAATATGTCCACGGCAGTTTCCTGTAGTCAAAGGTGATGGCTTTGTCTAAACAATGGCCCAAAACCCAGAGATATAGTTTACCATCACAGAAGACTAATAATTCACATTTAGGAAGTTAGAAAAAGTGAATTCTTGGCATTTTTGCTTAAAAGAAAGAAGAAACTCTACCATTTATTTGAGTTATTTTATTAATTTATTTGCTTTGAGGGCAAACAGTTTTGCTTTTAGAATTTTAGGTTTCATCCAAGACATGTACTACAACCTACACTGTACAGTCAAGCTGCTGACTAGGCAGTTGCAATTCCCGCAATCACACTAATTGGTCTCCTCTGCTGCTCACCTCCAGGACCCTTGTATGTTCATACAGATAACAAAATAAGGCTCCTAAAGAAAACACAAGCTGAAAATAATGAGATTTCTCAAGTACTGTGAAATGTAACAGAAAATGGTGACATTTCAGTTTGAACCTTGGCGACTTGTCTTAAACAATTCATGGAGATTCCACCTATTACTGGGAGATAATTTCATGAATTAATTCACAATATGGTAACTGCAGAGGTCTGCTAAGTTGTAAGATATCTT